GTGTGTGTGTGTGTGTGTGTGTGTGTGTGTGTGTGTGTGTGTGTGTGTGTGTGTGTGTGTGTGTGTGTGTTGGGAGGCTGGGGGGGGTGGTGCAAAGGATGGAGGCCCCTTCTATTTCATTGCTTTAGGATGTCCCACAGTGTCTGCCTTACATTGGAGCTTTAAAAGAATCTGGCCCATGGGATGTAGGTTGCTGACCCCTGGTCTAGACTCTTGGAGTTAAAAATGTATTTAATTTTAATATTATTTATTTAATGTAAATTACTTGACTAGACTATACTAAGTGTAAACATTAGTATATGCTTATTGTAATTGCAGTTTAATCTTAAATTGGTTTACTTTTAAAATAGAAAATTTTAATTTAAACCAAAGTTCAATTTAAATTAAAATTCTTTCTTTAAAACACTTCATCTGCTCTGATTTGCAGTTGTTTATAACATTTAGAAGGACACTTGATCTGTTTGGATCCAGTAGCTGACTTTAATCAACATTTGGTATAGTTCATTGGCAAATGTTTGCTCTTTCATCTCCAGTAATTTGTGGGGGGGGGCAGAGATGATGGGGTCCATTTAATTTCTGGAGCAGTAAATCCTAAAATTGAATTTGCGCTATCTGAACTTTGAAATGAAGTTAATATTTTCCATACTCCTAAAAATATTTAATCCAATGTAATACATCTTTTTTGAACCTGTTACATTCCTACTAAGGTGTAAATGCTAGTGCAGAATGTTATATGATCTAATGCTTGTAAAGAAATATTAACCACTTTTTCCAGAAAATGTCTTTAAGATAAACTGATGTGCTGGGCTCTGGTCTTATCTCACCTTTTAGTCAAGCATAGTCTCCTGGGACATACCATAAATCCTATTGCCTTTTTAACTCGTCAGACTTTTTAGGGGGTAAGGGGAAAACATTAGATGATATGAGTTTTGTTTTTGCTTGACAAAATTAAGATGGGCTTTTAATTTCAATGCCACGTTTTAAGGAATTGGAAATCCTAATTTCAAAGATGTGAAGTAATTTTTAAGCAAGTGTTATGTTTTACCAGCGTGTAGAGTTTCTTCTCTAATTTCATGCTTTTCCCATTGCCACATGTGACTGCTAATTTTCAGCTTACAAGGTGAGTGAACAGCTCTACGTGGATCGGGAATTGCACCCTCTGCTACAAAGTGTTGAAGAGAACTCTGTGGGCTACAATCTGATAGAAACCGAATATAACTAATAGATATTTGGTATGCTTATTTTTTGCCATTTACAGTTATTTGCCAGTATATATTCCCTTTCAGATCTATATTTTTAAAAATGTTTATTACTATGAATAGTGCAATATATTTAGTAGAATATTTTTGCTGCTTTGGCTTGCTGGGAAGTGCAAGGCCAAGTTCTCCAGGAAAAAATGTGGTGATTACTTTGTTGGGGTTTTTTTCAACTTAGTATTTTGAACTGTGAATTCTTTTAATGTGACAGGGTAAAGTATATCTAATGATGGAGAATTTTCCATTTCTCATCCACGGAAACCTTTCCTAAATCATAATCTTAGGAAGCTGAGAAGTGGACTTAAAGAATATGTGTTTATTTAAGTATAAAAAATCAATGGAATAATATTTTGAAGATTGTTAATATATTTGGACCTATGTATTGAGATTCATTCAGTTACAGGTCTCTGCTCTTTTTCATTGATGTGAAAATGGATAACTTGCACCTAGAGCTCTTTTTGTCGTGTAAGACTATAGGTATTTCTTACATGCTTCAGGAATTTTAGTTGTGTAAAATTTCACAAAATTCCACCCCACCTCAGGTAGCTTCAATTCAATTGCCAGAGGTGGTTTTAGAGAAGGGGCTGAAACTGGCTGCTGATGAACAATAGTATAAGCAATAATATTGAGAAGTGGGGTAAGTATGCTTTTCCTAGGAGAGGAGCAACTTTGCCTTGCTGTCACACTACCCTTTGATAATACATAGGTTGCCAGTTGCATGGAATGGATTTCAGCTCTTGTTCAAAGCTGGGAGTGCTAGCAGCCTTATAACTCAATAGGTGGATTTCATGTGAATATATGATATTATCGGAGGTATATCTTTTTAAGAATTAAATCACAATACCAGATAGTAACAGTTTAAAACTTTTTGAAAATAATTGCTTCCTTCAAAGGCACCATGCTTTCTCTTTTTATTAGGTGAATTGTTATGTTTGAGTACCCAAAGCATACAGTTGCTTCACAAAATAAGAGAATAACTCTTTTCTGAAGCATGTAAAAATTACAATGAAATACTAAGGAAAAAAGGTGAAAACCAGAGAGTGGGGACACTGTAGGAATAGTGGGTAACTAATAGATAGCCAATAGCTTGCAAGGAAAACTTAGGTGGCTCTTGAGTTAGCCACCTGAAATGCTACCTTTTACTCTTTGAATAGTGACTCTGACAATGAAAATTGTTTGAAGCTCAGTAATATAAATTCAGCACTCATTGATTGTTCAGGGGTGTCTTTACTGACTAATTGCAGCATATGTTTGTTTAATGTTTCCATCTTTCAAATTAAACAAAGGGGGTTCATATATTCTTTATGTTTTTTTAAGGCAACTCCCAGTTTGGTATGATACAGCTTACATTTATTAAACTGGGTCTGCAGGTGACTAGCCTCTTTCCTAAGAGACTTTTGTGCAGTAGTTCTAAGATTATACCAATTCTGGGTTTTTTGTGCTGTGGGAATTGGCAGTGCCCCAGACTAGGTTATTTTCAGTAATTTACTTGGATGCAGCTGATTTCTTGAAGGTAGGTATATGCAGAGGAACTTGGGTGTTGCAGAGAGATGGTAATGAGATTTGGACAATTTCATCTCTAGGTCACTGATTTGAATCCGATCTGGGGCACCTCAGTTAAAATTAAGATATAGAATCTGTGTTTTATGACTGTGAAATGTATTCGTGGTCTGTCTAGCTCTTATATTCTCAAAAAAAAAAAATCAACTAGGTTTACTTCCTTTGGTGTATTTCCCCTTACTAAAGAGTGAATGGGCTTCCAGAATGAACTACTCTCTTCTTCCTTTAAGTTGTCTCTTTGGGTCAGGGTTGAGACACCATTAGAAAAAAAACATGGAGAAAATTGTCCTATATTGAATCCATGGATAAATGGTTGAGTATCATTCATAGTTATGAATTAACACCTTTTAGGAATCTTAGTGTTTTGGGCATGAAAAGAAGGGGGTGGGGAGATAATACATTTTTGCTCAAATTGCTAATGGAACAATCCTTAATTTCAATTACCAATATCAATCTTTAGCCTTCAATGATGGAGTGTCTTAACTCTTCCTCTCCTTACTGAATCATGATTTATCCAAAATTAACTACCAAGTACTGTTAACTGAGGTCTTCAGAGTATACCTTGTGTTTTCCAAGTTAATGTGAACTACCATCAGTTGCTTTAGCTATAAATCGTTTCAGTTTTCTACCTATGACAAGTTCCTGTATTTGAACAACATTACAAAAATTTGTTCTGTACTGATAATTTTTCAAGAGTTGCTGGCTTCAGACACACTGATGCAGCTATCTTCAGCATTATTATGTAATTAGATCATGATTAAGTTGCATGAAGACAGTTCTGCAAGACTCAAATGTATGCACTTGTTAGTCTAAATTGTAATAATTACTATTTAAAATCCACATCCAGTATGTAAAAGACTGAATTGTTCAGCAGTGTTAGGACAATTGCACCTTTAGTCTCTTGATTGGAGTATTTATAAAATGAATGCTAAATTTTTTATTCCTAAATATTTATAAGTGAAGTGATTGTTTAAGAGAGAAAATTACACCCTAAAGTGTTTGTCCTCTGTATTTATTTCTATAAATGTACCCCTTCTTTTTGTATAGCATTTGCTAATGCCCAAGAGGTACATGTCTACCCAAGTGTACAGTATACTTTTAAATTTATGGAAGTTGCGTGGTGGGGGGAAGGCAGACTGTATGGCTTTTACTCGATGTGTTTTCTTCTCTTGTAAATGCATTGCATTGTTTCCTACTAAATTCTAAAGTCTATTTTTTCAACACATTCTTTTATTTGGATGTAAGGGGTAATTTTTTTTTTTTAATTTAAATGAACTTTGAAAGACATGCTTGTGTTTTCTCTAGTAGTGATTTTTTTGACATTCTTTTTAGTAATGCCTTTCAGTTTGAATTTTTTGGGTATGTCAGGCTGCAAGGCAGCTGGAGTTCTCTCATCCTATTTAAAAATGGAAAGTGAAAAAGTTTTGTTTTCATATTTGAGCAAACTGTTTGGTGAGAATAAAGTGTCGGTCTAAAAATAAAATTAGCAATGCTAGACCACTGCATCTGATGCATGAAACTGTTCTGTAAGATTTAAAAGTCCCTTAAACCTAATACAAAATGGTTATGCGTGTTTTCCTGTTTGAATTCTTACCAAATAATTCCAAACCATAAATTGGAGATTATAATTATATTCCTTTTGGTTTTTTGTAAATATGACTAAAGAAGTTAAGATTTAGACTTGAAAATAAATCATTTTGCTTTTTTAGTAGACGGGAATGTTAACATTCTAAGAATGATAGGTTGACCATGAAAACTATGTTTACTTTCAGAGAGAACAGGAAATGAGAATGGGTGATATGGGTCCTCGTGGAGCAATAAACATGGGAGGTAGGGATCTGAAGGAAAAAGGCTTTCTTAATTTAAGATTTAATTTCTTTGGGACTGTACATGTTGCTCCTTGGTATTAAATATTAGTGGAAAGTACTAGTAATAAAGAATAAACGTTTTAGTGGTGAGCAATATAATATCCTACCCATTTGGTTTTTAATTGATCCTTAAAATATTTGCAAGTACTTAGCATACTTGCATTTTATTATATTGATCTGAGTGTGGGAGAAACTTGGACTAATTTACAGTCAGTAAATTATAAAAGGGCATGTGAGGATGTTAACATAGAACACATATGATGAAAAGCATTTTTAGCATTTATAATTCTTTGTGGAAGGAAAAAAAAGGGAAGAATCCTAACTAAATACAGGAATCGGACTGCAGTGTACAGTCAGGTAAATAGATTTGCACTCGTCCAGTTCATGTTTTTAGTTAATTTTTGGTGATGTGTTTATTTTTATAAAAAGCTATAAAATACTTACCTGAAGATTTTAATAGTGTTGCGGGTCAGTAGCTGCAAATGGTCTTGCAATATTATTCCTAGCCTCAGGGAGGTATTGTCACTGTTACAAACCTTTTTTTATTAACTGAGTGTTCAAGCTAAAAAATGAAACCAAACCTATTTAAAGTAAGTATTTACTATATTTTCTTGCATACAGCACAGCCTGGAATGTAATACATACCTTGTTTTTGAAAGGCAGAAGAAAGAGTTATGGCTCTCTAGAAAGGGAGTGAACCTAATCTTCATCTGACTGGCCCTCCTTTCCTGCTTAGGCTGTGAAATAGGAGAGAAACCAGGAACAGGTAGCAGACAGCAAAATTGCCCGAAGAGACATTAGATTGATTAGTGAAATGTCAAGATTGTTAAAGAGATAATCTGTTAACACCTGTGGAGTGGAGAATGAGCCATTAAGTCAATTGATTTCCTTAGCTACCTGAATAGTAATACCACAGCTACAGAAATCAAAGCGCAGGGTGTTTGTCCTGGGTAGAAAGTCAATTTCTCTACTTAACAGATGTGCCCCAACTTGGGGGCTGATTTTTGGGGAATAGACATGTGTTTTATGCGAGAAAATGTGGTATTTTTATATAGTCAGTCAACACGGATGAGTTTTGACCAAATGGTGTTTACTTTTACAGAATGTTAAAACTCAAAAGTTAAAAGTTTATTAGAATAACTTTTAGAAAGCAGTCTGTTAAAATTTATCAGCCATGAAGATTTATTTTTGGTGCCCTATTTTTCATTTAGCCATGCTTTAAATTATAACCTTAAAAATGAACTACAGTAAAAGCTCTGTTATCCAGCATCCCCTGGGAATGGGGGATGCCGGATAACAAAATATGCCGGTTAATTGAGTGGCCCAGGCCACCACTTCTCCCGCTGTGTCTGGGGCATCCTTCCACCCCTCCTGCCACATCGCTGCCCCTCCTGTGGGCCCTGCAGGCCCTGTGGAACAGGGAGGCGGACCATCGCACAGCCTGTTAGGCCCCTGGGCCGTGGGGGCTCAGCAGTGCAGGCTGCTTTGCCCCTGGGCTGTGGGGACTCAGAGAACCCGGAAGTGCCACAGTGGGCACTTCCGGTTTCACTTTTACCTTACAAGCTGGCGTGCCCATTAATTGAGCATGCCGGCTTGTAAGATGCCGGTTAACAGAACTTTTGCTGTATATTCATTTTATGGCTTAATAACATATTTCAGGTCTGTTTGTAGGGTACGTTTTATAAATTTTAACAACGGCTTGAAGAATTAAATAACTTCATACATACTGGAGTATGCATTGCATGTTTATGTAAATTTCCAGTAACACAGTTGAATAGTTTTAATCTAAGATGTATTCCACCAAAATTGTCACTTGCACTAATAGAAAAAAATACATACATAAGAGAGGATTAGCATAACATGTCTTTTAAAATATTATTTAAAAAGCTAAAATCTCCAGAAATTTAGTGTAAGAAAATCAAGGAAGATGTAGGCTAAAAAAAGAGCTAGGAAACGATTAACTTTGACAGAATACTTTTAAAATGTTGAAAATATAATTGAATGGATTTTCCAGAAGAATTTTTATTTAAAAATTTGCTAAATAAAAGTCATCTTAAGTAAATATAATTTATTTCTTGAAATTGTAAATACATTTTATAGCACTTAGCTCCATGATATGTGTTATTGCAGTGGTGGTAGGTCTGTTTGGCCCTGCAGGTCAGATGAGTAGAGTGGAGCCAGATTCACAGATTCAGCAGGGGGTCACCATGGGTGCGATCTGGCCATGGAGCATCCTTGTGCCCCCAGATCTGGCTGAGCACTGGCCTGACCCAGTTCTAGCCACATGCCAGTCTGTGAGGAGTGGCAGTGCTGCCAGCTCTCTCTTCTCCCTCCCCCCTCCCCCCCACAATAACATTCTCGTCTAATTTCTGAACCTGTGGGAAGATGACTCTGTAGGCCAAATCTGGCCTGCGCCCTTGGGGTTGAGCACCACTGCAATATTGCATATCATGTTTTTACTGTTCCAGTTAGTTCACAGCAAATTCAGAATTATACAGTAGCAGTGGTATTTTCAGTATGTGTTTTTAGCCTTCTTTGGATACATGTTATACTACAATAAAGAATGTAAAGCTATAAAGCAGCAATCTTAGGTATTAAACCAATGTATAAAACAACTTATTTCCTTTCCAGCTGTAGCTGTTTAAAAGGGCTTTTAACATGTATATCAAATTAGAAATTGTTTTATGAAGAGAAAGCGGGCTGTGTGGGAAGGCTTTTTTTCTGCTGTTAATAGATGAGTAAAACTGGATAAGAAAGACTTACATGGCAACACACATACTCAACTCTGTCTTTAGATGAAAACACGATCTGTTTACTTGATAACAATACAGAAAAGAAACTACTTAAGGATAGAACTTTGCATGCAATGATAGCTGTGTACGCACCATTTTCTCATAAACTAGCACTCTGCACTTCCTTTACTACAGGCAGTGTACTTCCACCTTTTGAAGATGCATGTGGCCTGCTATATTTACTATAAAATATATACTATTTTATTATACCATACTATTTTCTTCCTGTATTTGCTCCTTTGGATGGCCAGAATTAGTAAGGGATCCATGATATATTTGCAAAAATGGACTCAGCCCAGCCCTTACTTTCAATAGAAGTTCTGCTAATGGGCAAAGGGAGCTTTTGATCAGAGCCAACCTAGAGGAATAATTCTTCAAAGATGTGTTGAAACGTTCAAACTTTTAAAATTAAAGGGCTTACTCCCTTCTCCACTATAACTTTTAAAAGCAAGCTGTGTACCAGTTACCCTTGCCATACAGCCACAGATCTTTTGCAAAACCTAAACCTCTTATGGAACTCATATTCAGGATCAGTATGACGGTGTGATTTCAGCACTAATCAAGTATCCCTGGCATGCATCTGCATCTTTGCGTGCAGCAGTTCACTGGCTGATCGCTGTGATACTAGTGCTTATTGCTGGTAGCAGAGATGAAGTTTCATATGCAGACATAAAACAATAGCACTATAATTGCTATGCTAATTGACTTTGTATTCAGTTCTGCATTGATAATTTATGCATAACATGAAAGATGGTAATTCTAATGAGGAATGTTACTCAGGGATGGAAAGCCATACTTAAGTATTCTAGTCTATCTATTTGGCAGCATGTGTTCAAAAACTAAATTAATCCTACATATTATAGTGATAAATGGCTTCAAACCCTGGAAAATTATAAATACTACATTTTCTTCTCATTTATGTATTGTTGACGAACCTATATGCTTGGCTGAATAGTACATTGGCAGTATGACTAAACATTGTACCATCCATCACCTGTCTAATTTTGGTGACACAAATTGAGAACATCATCACAATTTTATTTCTATTAACACAAGTTTTAAATGCATAGTTTTTCTTATTTGTCAGCTCTAAAGCGTGTATTAAGAAATGGATGTTGATTGGCTGCCATTTATTATAGCTAAGCTTTCATTCCACCACAGCTTGCTATTTCTTTCTTCTTTTTT